AAATAGATCTGACAAAAAGAACGTAGCATTTTGAGACTGGCTTTACATAGTTAACATATATGGAGCAATACTGTTTACTGCTATAGACTTGGTTTGTACTAAGAAGTCAACAGTCTTGACCAACAATGATTCTGCACCAAAAGTACAAATAACAAAACAATAAAACAGCAAGTAATATCTAGGACTATTATTTTTTATTTTTTTATTTATAGATTTTTTTGTGTATTTCATACAGAACGTCTCAAACAATCTTATTCATCTTTATACCCACATCCCAAATTGCACCATCCCAAATGAACACCTTTTTTTCATTTTTTAAAATTTATTGATATTTTTGTATATTTTATACAGAACACCCCAAACAATCTTATCCTTTATATCCGCACCCCAAATGGCACCCTCCCAGAGCCCTCCCCACCACACTGGAGCCCATGTACTCTGTCACCCCTGTTACTGTCCACTGTGTTATCAGTGGCCCCAGCCATTCCCCAGTTGCTAGTCTATCTGCTGAGTCTAGTCAGCCTACCTAGAGTTCCTTGTTTTAGGAAGATCAGCTCTTCCTCATTTAGCAGCAATCAGTTGCCAACATTCCTTTAGATAAGATTGGGGTCTGCTGTTCATTATCTCAGATCTATGCTGGGTTACTGTCTGGGAGTCTCTTGGGCCACCCTGGCCAACAATTCAAAGGAAGGTATCTCCTGACTAGCATTGTCTCTTGTTATGTAGCCTTTAGCTATACCCATGGACTCAAAGAATTATACTGATCACTTTAATATTTTGTTATACTTTCCTTTTGGGTGTTTAAGACCATACAGTTGGCCCAGATAAACCAATTTATTTTGACTCTTAAGGCCATTTGATTATCTGTTCCTCAGGGGTCATAAGGGCTAGAGAGGAGCCCCTGTTTCCTTTCTTTTACCAATTCCATCTATGTGAAGATAAGTCAAGGGTCCTGCTCCACTGTGGATGGCTTCACTTGGAAGCATGGAGGAAATGTTTCCTCTGTGTTGACCCTCCTTTTTGTAAACTGGACATTGGTTCAAGTCCATCTGGTGGGGTCTCCATGGACTCCTTGATCAAGAGGACAGGTGACTCACACAGTTACAGGACATTCTGAGAGATGCTCCATAGTCCCCTGGAACTTAGTCGACCTTGGTGGGCAAGGAGCAAAAACCGTCCTTTAAGTCCCTCTGATCACATTAGTATAGGCCTCAAAGTATGGCTGTTAAACATCCAATAAGGTTAGTTCCACCAGTCTGGTACTTTTAATTACCATGTGCTATGTAAATAAAGCTTGGGAAAAAACCAAAGGTTTGTAGATAAACCTTGACTAGACATATATTATGTTACTTGAGCTAGTTGTATGTATAATTAGTCAGTAGGTTGTTGGACTAATATGGTTCCCTCTGTTTTTTTATTTTGTTTTGTTTTGTTTTCAACTAGCTAAGCATTATTAATCTCTCTCGTTGTCCATCCCTTCCAGGACAGTTTCCCCCTTTTTCCCATTCTTCCTTTAATAATACCCTTCTCCTATGGTCTCTCCTCTCTTGAGCTCCTTCTTTCCCTTTATTCCCGTTTCCTTGTGTAACCTTCCCTCCCCCTTCCCAGTAAAATAACCCCAGTTTTATCCATATCTCCCTTATTAACACCTGTTTCCTGCTGTTCTTCTCTTTTAGGTTCTTTCTTTTCCTTTACCTCCCTGGTATCTAGGACTATTGTAAAGTTGACCTCACTGACCCTCTTGAAAGTGTTTCTGAGATTCTCCCAGAGGTCAGTGAACCACTCAGAACTGCTGGTTATGGCATAGCCCTTGCTGACCAGAGGGTGGCAGAAGTTTTCACTCAGAGGAGACTGGAGAACTTGGTGGTGGGAACAAAACTCTCCTCTGGTTTGTCTTGGAGTAATTTCATAATTCCTAAATGAGGATTTCTTTAGAGAACAAATTGCTTGAGTTTTTAGGCTAACAATCTTGAGCATTTTCTATTCATTAAGGAAAAAAAATACGTTGTAAACTGTAAATCAGAGCATTTGTTTTTACTTATGTGTTCATTCATTAATACTTTCAATACTCCTTTTTCTTCCTTCATACTTCCTTTTCTTTTTTAAAAAAAATTTTGGAGAAGGAGGAGGAAGAGAAGGAGGCAAGGAAAGAGGAGGGGGAGGAAAAGGAGGAGGGGACAATGTCTCCATAAGCAGCCTGGCTGGCCTGGAACTGGTTACATAGATCAGTCTATCTTTGAACTTGCAGTGATTCCCCTGTCTCTGCTGGTAACATTGAGTCACCTGTGAGGACAAACTGCTGTGAACAGTAATCCATGCTGGTTGCTGAAGAAGTTTAAAGGCAGCTAAGAAAGATCAGGACAAGATTAAACAGAGCATCTCCTTCCCTAAGCCATTGCCTGCTCTTGGCTATAGTGACTTGGTTAAGCAAAATGAAGGTGACTTTCTCTCCACCAAGAATTCAAGCCAGACAGATACTTTTATAAATCTGTGGATATAGAATCTGTCCTTTAGCACTGGTTTGGCTCACAGAAGGTAGTACAGGGAAAGAGGGGGCACATCCACCCTATCAATGTAAAAGGAATATCTGACTGTTATAGAGCCCATTCGAGTGGAGGTCCTCAGGAGGAAGAGAGACTGAAGCTTGATCATAGCGTAGGCTTTGTCATTGTGAAAGTCAAATTAACTTCTGTATCTTTCAGTTGTGTGAGTCAGTAAATTCTATTATTGCACTGCCTTAGCTATTTTGAAGTTTCCATCATCCTCAAAGGAGACCTCACTGGCATGTCCCTAGCCTTATGTACCAGTCACAAGAACCTTTAGAGAGCAAAAGAACTCTGTTTCCAACATATCACATTTGAAAATCTTGGTGACTTTGCTAATTTCTCTAATATGAATTGATTCATCTTCTCCATGTTCTCACAGTACTCCATGAATACTCAAATTAAGAAACTCAGTATCTGGGGCTGGAGAGATGGCTCAGCGGTTAAGAGCACTGACTGCTCTCACAGAGGACTCTGGTTTGATTCCCAGCACCCACATGGCGGCTACAAACTGTCCTTAACTCCAGTTCCAGAGGAATCAGAGGCCCTCTTCTGATCTCCACGGCATTTCACGACTCGAGTGCACTCACATACTTGCAGGCAATACAGTCATATACATAAAATAAAAATAATAAATAAAAGAAAAGAAACTCAATATCTTATATTGATCAAGTTTATGTTGATAATTATAGTTTGGAAGGTTTGCAGTACTTAAGGGCAGGAATAACCTCTAAGTCATCTTTATATCTCTATACCTAGCACAGTAATAGGAGCATACGATGTCTAATAAGTCATGATTAAATTAAATTTCCTGGGGGTAGCAAAGGTCTCCCATCTCTAGAGATTTCCAGTCCATCCTCACAGCCATTTCCCTGACCCACATAAAGGAGGATCGCCCCAAGGGGTCCGACTGTAACAGTAGTGTGTTCTGCTAATCAGGCCTACCTCAACTTCGGCTGTGTGGCCATGGCTCCTGAACTCCCAGAAGGAATACTGCCTCCTGATAAAGAAAGTGGAAGCTGTTGATCTTGCTGTCTGTTGGTTGTCTCCTATCCTATGCATGGGGTTTTTTCCCCTTTTTTCCTTTTTTTGATTGGCAGTTTCCATTACTTATCTAATTCCAAGCATTTGCACAATTCACTTGAAATACTGAGTAATTTCTACCTTTCTATGGGGGGCCTGATGTCATATTGTCTCAATACCAACAGTGATTATGTGTTTGTATCTGGGACCCCAACAGGCTCCTTATATGTTCAACTCATTCCAGCCCCAGTCAACCATAGATCCCTAGAATTGCTTACATGAACATAGGTATTTGCCAAGGTCCTCATCAAAATGCAAACCTTCATTGACTGGTTTGTTTTCTTTTAGGTCATATCTTCCAGGAGAAACTTAGAGCTGAGTCCTTCTGATCTCATGAAGACACACACCTCCACAGATTTTCTGCAGCACAGCTAAGGTAAACCAACTGCCCTCTCCATCCAGAGGAACTGTTACTGAAAACAAACTCATTGACAAAGAAAGCTTACGGACCCACTGTCTCCCACTGGATGACATACTGTAGCGGGAATGAGGCTCTGTCAGGAAGACTTCCCTCAGTCCACAACAGGAGTAGGGAATTCATGACTAGTATGATTCCTCTTTAGGGAGTCGAAGGTGGGTTTCCAGTCTCTCCAGAAAACTATCCAATTAATTCAATACAGTGAAGACCAACATTGAGAAATCTGTGTTCATCAATCATGTTGCAAAGTATGAGAATACAGGTAAGCAAGCATGCAGGCAAAACTGGGAGGACACAGGATGGCAATTCACTTTTAAATAATTCAGAGGGAAATTGTTTTGTTTTCTTTGTGTTGTGTTTGAAATGTTTACTGTGGTTGAATCATATTTAAATTATAACGGAAATTGCTTATCAAACATAACATCGGTAAGTGTTGTGGCAAACGAGAAATCCACAGTAGCACTGAAAACTCAGTTTAAAAATAGTGTAACATTTCAAACACTGACCTTCTACCCCCAAGAGGTAAATCAGTGCTGTGAAGAAGGTCTAGGTGTGGAGCAGTGCACAGCACAGCACAGAAGCCACTCTGCAGTGAAACAGTGAGTTACCGAATGGCATAACACTTGTATTACAGTCTCATTCTTCACACCTTCCAGACACAGCAACTTACACTCTGAGAAAACAGACTTCTTTCACTGATAAGGCTGCTTCCCAGCAGTCTTTCCAAACTAATATATATATATAATATATATATCTTTCCATCCAGCACTGACTTTTTTTATTAGTTTATTTATTATTATTTTCTTTATGAGTGTATTGCCTGCATGTATGTAAGTGCACCCATGTCTTGCAGGGCCTGTGGAGATCAGAAGAAGGCATCAGATCCCCTGGAACTGGAATTACAGACAGTTGTTAGCTGCCATGTGAGTGCTAGGAATCAAACTCGGGTCCTCTACAAGAGCAGCCATTGCTCTTAACTGCTGAGCCATCTCTCCAGCCAAGCACTGACATTTAAAAAATCATTAGAACTTCTGGATATAAAAATTACAGTCAATAAATAATCCTCTAAGAATAGAAACTTTCCAGAGATAGCATATTTTATCTGTTAAATCAACTTGAGTGTATTTGATCTCAAGCACAGTGACAATTACCAAAGTTAGCAATTGAAATGTTTTTAATATTCAGTTCGTTAACTATTTATGGTACATCTGTCTTCCTCAAGGCCTCAAGTTGGTCACAGTGAGGACTGAGGTGTCAGCTCCATGCTTTAGAACTCCTCTTTCGTGACAGTAGACATCATTACACAGTCTGCTGAAATGAAGTTATTCTACTAAAGAGTATACACAGAATATTTTCAATGATGAAAATTTACATTTAGAGCCAGGCATGGTGGCGCACACCTGTAGTCCCAGCACTTGGGAGGCAGAGGCAAGAAGATCTCTGTGAGTTCAAGGCCAGCCTGGTCTACATAGTGAGTTCTAGGCTAGCTGGGGCTACAGGGAGACCCTGTTTCAAAAAGACCAAAACACGATTTACATTTAGAAGATGAGAGGGGTCTAACACAAATCACTGAAATAAACTCAGGGACAATTCTCTCAGAAAATAGTAAGAGTGAAGCAAATATTAAAGTCTTCAGTGTGGTTATTAGCTTAAGGATTATTGTCAATCCACAATGGAAAGGCAAAAAACAACAACAACAACAACAACAAAAAAAAAAACCCACACACCCTATCTTCTTTCCCCAAAATCAAACAAAAACCCTCCAGAGAGAATGCATTATAATTAACCTCAAAGGCCATCTTACAAAACTCCCAGAAGAGTCTAAAGAATGTATATGAAGGGGAAATGAGCTTTTCTAGGAAAACACACTGAACAGCCTATGGCATTTACAGGAGACTTCATTTTTCACTCATGACAGAAAAAGGATGCACACAGAATAGTTTCCTGATCTGCTAAAACACAGGACAAACGCAGAAACCTGTTCACCAGCTTTGCGTCAATAGTACTGTGTAGCCTGTGGTCTCCAATCATGTTAATACCATGAGGTGACAAACACTGCCACACAATATGCCAGTCCAATGATCATTAGCGTTCCTAAGTGAAATGCGATACAGAATTATGCATCAAATATATATCCTGCAGAAGAATCCTCATTAAAACTGTAGGGTGCTGTGATCAGAGAAAGATATTATATATGCCAGTCCCCGTGTTTCTCACATCATACCCTATATTACAGTACCACATGATGAGAATCACAGGAAAAAAATGTTTTAAAGGGAAACACACATACTTTTGGTTAACCTGAAAAAATATCACAACAGTAAGAACTACCTGTTTAAGAATTCTACCATTTTGGAAACGAACTTAAATTCTTTATCAAACACTATTGAGAAGTGTGATGGGGTCAGCTTATGGTCACATAGAATTTTTAATACATTCTGAGGTTTGTAAGGCTGGCCATATAGTCATGCAGTCTGAAGCACTTGTATTCCATGGGTTTAAGACACACCCAATGATGCTTATTACTTGAACATCCATTGATGCAAATCTAGGAGTGATGTGCTAGTTCACTGGAGATCTGGTTTTCTCTGTGGTGCTAAAGCTGCTAGGAAAGTGGGACCCATACACCAGAAGTCTAGAAAAGATTCATCAATAGGGAATTCTGAGTTTTGTTTTGTTTGCTGCCTCCCCAGTACTGTTTGGGGTGACTCATTGGTGACAACTGTTAATAAAAAGAGGCTCTCACTCTGCGGCCCTTCAAGGGCTGTGGAGGACGATGATTGCTCAACAGAGAAGCTGCTGCCTCGCCCTCTGCTGTGCACAGGAGGCTGCGGAATCTGGCCAGCTGTTGAAGAAAAGAGCAGACTTAATTTTGGCATAGAAAATCAAGTCAATCTTAATGAGCTGCATAGAAATGTTAAGATTGTGATAATTTTTACCAGCAGTTAAAAACAGAGTAGTGCAAAATTTCTAAGTTATCATAAAGAGTTATCCTATTTGAGTCTCTTCAATATAGAAATACCTATGGATCCAAAATTAAGTGTATAAAACTCTTCACTTGAAGATCAAAGTAATAAAAGTAGAATGTGTTTTAAAGAGCACATATTAGGATTCAAAAAATGGTTTTCCGTATGTTCCCTCCCCACCCTAGGCCACACACCTGACATGTTTTATTACAAAAATATGCCTGATATTTTGAAGCTCAACTTTTCCACATAATACATACCACAGACATTTTTGTGTATCAATAAGCATAAATTTACACACTGCTTTTAATTGTTGGAAAGCTCTACTATACATATGTTACTCAGTTGTAACTGTATCATGAAATTCCAATCATTTCTTGGTGGTCTAATATGGTTTATCAACAGTTCTACCGTAACAAAATAAAGATTGGATAAATTACCTGAATAATCATAACCTCTCAGACATTCAACAAAGGTATACTGCCTATTAACACAGGTCTTGGTGTTTGTTTTACCTTTTGCTATGGTTTGATGAGGACAAATTAGTAAATTATTAAAATGAGACCCGTTTTTAGTCCCCTAGCTCAGAGCCACGTCATCAGGCATCACCACTGTCATTTTTGTGCAGTATCAATCAGGAGGGAGGCAGAGGAGAAAGAGGCTTTTCACCATTAACATAGTAGTTTAAAACCATGACTAGTGAACACAGAATCTCCCACCACACAGAAGCAGCTCTGCTTCTTCGCAAGTGATATTTTCTCATATGTTTGAAAGAATCAGTTGTGGGAATGGTCAGACAGCTGGTTACAACTTAGTGATGGTCATTTGCATTAGAGTAGATCACTATAGTTGAAACCAGATTAAATCCACTGACAAAGGCTAATAAAATGCAACCCTGGGGAGACACTCAGCCTTATATAACTCATAACTACAGCCTGGGGGGGGGGGCTAGTCAAGGTGGTAGTGTGAGAATGCAGTTCTACCCTGGGGGTACAGATCTGAGCTTCCCAGCACAACATACCTCCCCAGTGGTGCCATTGATTTCTCTGAAAACTTGCCTTTGGTTTGGTTTACACACACACACACACACACACACACACACACATACACACACCTCCTTTGGAAACTGGTCATAGATCCCTACCTCTGCAGTATTTTCACTTCACCAGTGTAGAGCTGAATCTTAAAACTTCCTCTGGCCAGCTTGCTCACTTTGCTAAGAGTCTCTAAACCAGTCTTGATCACACCCTGCCTCTTCAGTACTTTCTCCATCACTTGGCCCAGCTAGACAGATCTGTCACCTCCTGCTCACAATGGTTTCTTTGGCTTCATGTCCTTGCTAGCTGGCTCTGATACCTTATTCCTTCATGTAGCCACAGGCTCATTCAGGCAGAAAACTTGATCCTCTGTCACTAAGCTGACTCAGCACCCACCCATTCTTGGCAGATCTGTCCCCACTTCAGCCTGGAGGCTAAGGTAGGTGTGACCTGCCTTGCTGGTTTCCTTGGCTCTACTATTAAGCTCTTCATTTCCTTATGTAGCAACCCCAGCAAGATGAAATCCTTTACTGCAAAGCCATCTAAATAATTTTATGTCATGCTGGCACTCAGCCATCTTTAATGATGCTCCAGTGCCTGCTCAAGTTGAGTAATAATAAAAATAAGCTCTCTTTGAGAACAAAGAGATCCAGACAATGTGCTACATGCTTTACACTACATTATATGATCTAATCCCCTAAATAACTTAGCAATAATGTACTGTTACCCCATCCTACTAATGAGGATCTAGAGAGGCAGCTGGGAAGTTTCAACAAATAAGTTGTCTGGCACAAAAGTAATGAACTAGCCACAGAAGTAAACCGCATTTCTATCTTTTTAAAAACCATTTTTATTTAATCTCTTTTCACTTATTTTTAAGTAGAAACATCAATAAAGTAGCATGACTGCTTCAACCACCATCAACACATGCTCAGTTCTCCATCCACACGCCTGCCCAATCTCTCTCTCTCTCTCTCTCTCTCTCTCTCTCTCTCTCTCTCTCTCCCTCTCTCTCGCCTATCCTGCCCAAACCAGATGACTTTAAATCAAGTTCTGATTATCATGTCATTTCAGTCTAGACATTTCTAAATGTATCCCTAAAATAAGCGCCATTTCTAATATTTTGATAGACACCCAAAGTGAACTTTTCAACCTGGTTTCTGAGTCTTAGACTACGACCATTCCTCTAACCTTTCTAGATCGTTCTGTGCCTACATATCACATTCACTTGAGGTACCACTCAAAGCTATTTTTTGTGAAAGGGGGATCTCAGAGTGCCTGGATGAAAAGGCAAGAGTGATTCCTAAAATTTCAGATGTGTGGATTTCATTCAAGCCCTTGAACCAGAATTTCTGACAAGGCTCAAGGGTCCATCTTTACATAAGCTTCTCTAAGGGGTTGCTGGAGACACTGAACTATGAAACCACAGTGCAAAGTTGCCAGCATGCATTCTTATGCTCCAACTTCCTTAAGTCCCTCCTTTCTTCACTATCCACAGTCATGCCTCTCATTCATGAAGTCTTTCCTGATGTGTCCATTGAAAAAGTCTCTGATTGGAACGTCCATTATCATGTTGCCTTGTGGCACCAATCAGAGCCCACTATGTGATAGCTTTGCACACTTATTTTATCACTCTGTTAGATTACAAACTGTCAAGAACAAGGACCTCTTTTACACATTTTTTAAAAATGTCCTGTACCATAAGTTGCAAAGAACTAGCATTTTGTAGTTCACAATTGCTTGTACAATCTTCCACAATTTAGTACTTTAGTTCAAAAACACACGCTTTCATATATGATCACAAACACAAAACCTTACTATTAAAGAAGTACCTTTAGGGGGTGCTGGAGAGATGGCAGTTAAGAGCACTGACTGCTCTTGCAGAGGACCCAGGTTCGAGTCCCAGCACCCACATGGCAGCTACAACCGTCCTTAACTCCAGTTCCAGGGGAATCCGAAGCCCTCTTCTGACCTCTTTGCACGACATGGGCGCACTCACATACATGTAGGCAATACACTCATACACATTTAAAAAAAAAAAAAAAAAAAAAGAAGTACCTTTGGAATTTGTTTTGGAGTATGTTATTCTAGCATCCTGAAGACAATCTCCCTGTAGAGAATAGCTAAGAGCTCAGAGGTTAATGTGAAAAAAGCACTGCAGGGAGAGAAGAAGCAGAGGGTGTCAGGTGGAGAGTACAGGCTTGATTGAAGAAGGAAAGATGAGGGGCTGGAGAGATGGCTCAGCAGTTAAGAGCACTGGCTGCTCTTGCAGAGGACCAGGATTCAATTCCCAGAACCCATACGGTGGCTAACAACCTTCCTTAACTCCAGTTCCAGGTGATCAGACTCCCTCTTCTCGCCTCCACAGGCATTGCACAACACAGGTGTACTTACATGCAGGCAATACACTCATACATACAATAAATAAATAAAAAATTTTAAATGAAGGAAAGATGAAAGCATGCAAGTGAGATCTGTCTCTGAGCTTTAGCTGGAGCTAAGTACAGTGTGTAAGGTGCACATAACTGCAGCAGGGCAGGAAAATAACCAAGAGAAGATCCTCAGACTCTGCCAGAATCTCTGACTGACCCATTAACCACACATGCGTAGAACAGACTCCAAGCATCCAGCTCACTGAGACCAACACAGTAGCATAGGGAAGAATATGCACTTTTATCTCACCCAAAGTAAGTATCTTCTAAAAGAAAAGAAACAACACTCATCAGAGAAAATAACAGAATCCAGAATTTTTGCAAATTACTGTTCATATTCTCCTATAGTACAGTAAAAATTACTTGATACCATAAGAATCAAGAATAGAGCACACAGTGAAAGCAGATTCCAGCCCAAGATGAACTACTGTTGGAACTTAAAAGGATATTAAATTATATAATTAAAATTGACTGTTATAATTATCTCACGGGTTATATGATATTAAACAAAACAACTTTTCAATATATGAGAGACCTCAGAAAGGTAAGGAAAAATATCAACAAATAAATAAAATAAAAATAATAAAAGAGAACTAAATAGAAATTTTAGGACTAAACATATGGCTTCTAAACTAAACATTTCACTGTACAGGACTTTCCACCCAAATTGACATGAGAAAGGAAATGAACTTGAATACACACAAATAGAAAACACTGGCAGTGGATGATTCTTGAAAAATGGCACTCGAGGTGGACCTCTGGCCTCCAAATGCAAACATACACATGCATGCACAACCACCCACACAAATGTACACGTACATGCATTCACAAAAGAAAATGGGGAAATGAATTGAACAGATCTTCACAAAAGGAAATACATGATTGGTTTGTATGCATATGAAGAAATGTTCAACACAGCTAGTCATCTAATACATGCAAATTAAAATCACATGTACTGGCTAGAATGTCTAAATTAGGTAAACTGACAATACCATACCAAATGCCAGCAGGGATAGGGTACAGCAGAAATATCATAAAACACTGATGGGAAAGTAAAGAGGTCCTGTCACTTTAGAAAACAAGGTGGTGGCACCTTACAAAGTTAAGCATGCATGGGGCTGGAGAGATGACTCAGCACTTAAGAGCACTGGTTGCTCTTACAGATCTGGGTTTGATTTCCAGCATCTATATGGCAGCTAACAACCATCCACAACTCCAGTTCCAATGGAATCCAATGCCTTCTTCTGACCTCCACAGGCATTGCATGACACGGGTGCATTTACACACCTGCAGTCAATACACTCATACACATAAAATAAAAATAACAATTTTTTAAAAATTAAGCATTCCAGTTCTTGGCATTGGTCCGGGATATATAAAAAAGTGTCCATACAGTGTGTATGTCAACTACTCCTAATAACCAAATAGTGAATCCATGTTAATTCTTAATAGTTCCAAAATTAAAACAATCCAAATGTCTATCAACTGATAGAGTTTTTTAATGTGGTACATCATACTATAAGGTAGTAATAAAAATAAACGAAGTGAATAAAGCATAAAAACATTACACTGGGAAGACAAACACAAAAATGTATTTACTAACCAGGGCTGGTATTTCAGGCCTGTAACACTAGCTATTTAGGAAGCTCATAAGTCCAAGGTCTGCCTGAGTTACAGTGAGTGCAAGATCAGCCTTGTCAATTTAGTGAAACTCTGTCTCAAAATAAAAACAACAATAAAGGGCTGAGCATATAATCCAGTGGTAGAGTGTTTTCCTAGTGTATGTGAAGCCATAGATTCAATCCTCTATCACAGCATTAAAAAAAAAAAGCTACTTACTGTTTAATTCATTAAATAAAATTCTAGAAAAGGAAAAATTCTAGTGACAGCATGCAGATAGCTCAGCAGACAGTAGCAGAGATATCAGAGTATAAGGGCTCTAGTTGGGGGAGGGAGGCTATGGGAGGGTGCCACCTGGGAAGTGGGTATATAGTTGAATAAGATGGTTTGGGATGTTCTGTGTGATATACACAAAAAAAAATCAAGAAAAATTTTAAAT